GGGGTGGCTCGTGCATGTGTGTGCCCCATGCACTCTCGAAGGAGCGTGTGCATGTGCCCACGCGAGCACCCCCCGCTGCCCCTGGGCGCGGCTGGGTAGCCTGTCCGCGGCACTTGGGGCTGACCCGCTTTGGTGCATGAGCGCCGCTCGTTCGCTAAGCCCCTGTGGTCGCTCTCTTCGCTCGCCGCCCCTCTTTTGCGCCTCCCCTCTCCTCCCCCCGGTAAGTTGCTACTTGGGTCGCGCGTTTCATGCGGGAGCATGTGCAAAGGCAAAAGCGCATGCATGCCCGCGCTTCCTGCCCGCCCCTCCCCCCTCCGCCCCCTGTATGGCCGCGACTCTATACTCGCCGGCCGCGGGCACGTGCCCAAGTCTCTCTGCCACTGGGCCCCGTCGGGCTCCCTCGCTGCGCGGAGGGGAGAGAGGGGCGCGGCGGAGCCGCCTGTGCCGGAGTCCCTTTCGGGATCTGACATATTCAAGAGGAAGCTCGCGCACGCGGACACCTCTGCCCGGTCGCCCGGCCCTCTGCGCACCGGCGACCTTTCGGGCCCCCGCAGGCCTCCTCTTTGGCCGAGATGGGCGGGGGGATGCGCTCCCGAAGGGCCCCGGGCGCGGGGCATGGAGGATCGCTGGCTGTCCGCCGCCGCCATCGCACATGCATACGCCCGCCTCCGCCCCCCATCGTCCCCCTGTGGGCAGGGTGTTGGCCGAGGGGGCCGAGGGGCCAGCACGGGAGGAGCCAGTCGGGGCATAGACACGTGCGACGGCGGCGGCGGACAGCCAAGCACAGGTACTGGAAAAAAAGCGCGCGCCAAAGAGAGCGCCCCGAGAGGGAGGGAGAGAGCGCGCGAGACCGATACAACCACCCACACAGTCAAGCCTCTGTGGCGGGCGCGGGTGGGCAGCGCGCCCGTTGGCCGGTTCTCCTCACTTGCGGGGGCGCACGCACGGCCGGCACCACCACCACTACCACCGCACCACGCGAGCCGCCCTTGTATGCGCGCACACATACACACGCACAAGCGCCGTGGGTCTCCCGTTCTCGCACGAAGCAAGGGATGTGGGAGGATGCAGGAAAGGCTAGCAACACGCGCACGGGCGTGTGCCCGTGGCGTGAGATCTCGGCTATCATTGCGGCGCGCGCGCGCGTGGAGGACACGCGCGTGCTCGTTTCATGCGGCGAGACACGACGCGCCCCCCGACGGTGCGGTTGCTCTCAAGCGAGATGGCGGGACGACTGGGCGTTCCCCGGCCGCTCCGCCCCCCTCCCTCCCCTGGAGGGGCTGCTCGCGTGGTGGTGGGTGCCGGCCGTGTGGGGCCACATGCGACCGCCGTCTGCCCGGTGTGTGGCTGTGGTGTGTGCCCGTGTCTGTCTGCGTGCGTGCGTGCGGGCAAGCGGGTGCGCACACGCGCGCATAAATGCTCGACCTGACCGTGGGGCGCGCCGTCATAGTAGTTGCTACTTCGGTTTACCGCAGGCATTCGAGGGTCTTCGCTTCTCCTGCTCTTTTTTTGCACGTCACTCTCCGTCCCACCGAAGGCGGGGAGGGGGGGGGGGGGGGAACGCGGCCGCTTCCCTTCAGGCAGGCCGCCGGCCTCCACGAGGGGCAAGCACGCGAGCGCACCCACGCACCCACGCAAACAGGCATGCACACACACACACACACACACACCCACCCATACACACAGAGAGACATGCACACGCATGGACATCTGGCTAGTGGCGCATATGCACCTCTGCCGGGCATGCCCCTCTCCCCGAGTGTCTCGCTCCCTCGCGCTCCCTCCCTCGCGCACGCTCTCTTGCTCGATACCATCCGACCCCTGTCCAACCTACTCTACCCTGGCTGGCGCTTCGCCGCGGACCATCGGCCGACGGCTGCACCATGATGCTCTTGCTCACCCGGGACCGGGCACGCGTGCGACAGGGACAAACCGGCACATGGTGCACGGGCCTTCTCCGCCGACACGTCCTCGCCCCTCTCCATCCGACAAAGGCGGCACAGGAGGGACGGAGACCCGAGGGGGGGCGGGGGCAGGGAAGCGGCACCACGCGAGGACACACTCCGACACTCGGAAGAAGGCGGGGGGGGCAGGGGGCGGCGAAGCGAGGCGCAATGGCGGCCAAGGCCGATCAGCGGACACCCACCAGGGCATCCCCAGTCACGCGCGCCCGAGGGGCGGGGCGCAGGCAGCCCCATTCACGGACACAGGAACAGCTACAGCCGGGCAGGCACACGCCAGAAACCCAAGTGCACACACACACACACACACACATACACACACGGAAGGCACACGCGCGCACGCGCGCGAGCCAGCCTCTCAGGTCCCCACTCTGTCGGTCTTCCTCTCAGCAACACCACCTTCCGGCTTTCCAAATGGTCATGCTCACGTACCCTTGAGCGCATGCAGGCGGATGAACTGGGCGTTGACCTGGAAGTTGACATCGGAAATGATGTTGTAGTCGTGGCCGGCGAAGCCCTCGAAGTAGTAGGAGGCGCCGTTGAAGCCGACGAAGTGCGGGTCGTCGGTGGCGCTGCCCTGGCAGTTGGTGACGGACTTGCAGTTGTTCGGCTCCTCGGCACAGGCGAAGACCTGCAGGCCGTTGGCCGCGCACTGGGCGGTGGTCGGGTAGCTGACGGGGTTGGTGCCGGCCTGGCAGGCGGCCACGCTGCTGAAGCAGAGGGCGTTGCGCTGGCACGCGCAGGAGGCGCCATCGTTGCCGCCGCCGGTGGAGGGGCTGCTGGTGGGGCGAGGGTGCTTCTTGCCCTTCTTGCCCTTCTTGCCCTTCTTGCCGCCCTTGTTGCCCTTGCGGGCCCTCTTGGCGGCCTTCTTGGCGGCCTTGCGGGCGCGCTTGGCGGCCTTCTTGCCGCCACCGCCGCCACCGTGCTCATCATCATCATCATCATCGTCGTCCTCGTCGTCGCGGCGGCTGATGCGCGCGGCGTTGGCAGCGGTGGCGGCCAGCAGCAGCATGGCCAGCAGGGCCATGAGCAGGGCGCGCGGCAGGCGAGTCTTGGTCAGCTGCATGGTTGCTCGGTTGAGAGGGGGAGGGAGGGGAGGGGGGGGGAGTGTTCGGGGGGGTGGGTGGGAGAGTGGAGGGAGGGGAGAGGTAATTGCAGGGGTGGAGATTGGGAGAGAGGTCTTTCCCGGTTAGTCCAGAGTCTGCTATCTCGATGGCCCGATTGGCCGGCGTCCTGTCTACCAGCCTTAAATAGGTAGTCCAGATTCCCCCTCCTCGCCTGGGGAGGGGAGGGGCCGGGAGGCGGGGGGAGACCGGCCACCCACATCGTCTCCCCCCCCCCCCCCCCCCCCCCGGACGCCCGTCGTTCACCAGGTGAGAGGCCCAGCCGCAGGATGCGGCTGCTGCCAACACCCCCCCCCCCCCTCCGGGGGAGACCCGGGGCCAGATACTTCAAGCAGCCTGTCGTGGGCTAAGACGGCCCGGGGCGGCCTGGCCGCTGGGACATGTCGACGAGGCCGCCCCGGGCCCCGGGGACGCGGGCCCAGGGAACAGAGGGCCTGTATGGTCGGCGGCCGGCTCTACGGGCCGCTCGGAAGAGCCCAGCACGCCGTGACAGCTGAGATCTGCATGTGCATGTGGCGAGAGAGGGCGGGGTGTGGGAAAATTAAATGCCCCTCGCCCCCCTCCCCGGCCGGTAGTGGTGTGGCCAATGGGACCGGCTGGGGATCCGCATCACCTCCAATCATGCTGGCTTCGTGCCCGGGCAGGGCCATCGTGCCGGGGTGGCGAGGACATGGTTGCATGTCCCGCTCGGAGCCGGGGGTGCTGACTGCGGGAGGTATGCCTGGGGCCTGTCATTTTCTTCTTCGCAGCATCTGTGGCCGTGTCCCAGGCGGGCTGGCTCGAGTGTCACCCGGTAGGGACCTGGTGGGAGGCACCTACTTACACACGGCCGCGCCCGGCCAAACGTCCGCGCGAGCGGATGGACCGGCGCGGGCGAGCCCCTTCAGCCGACAGAAGGGGGCGCGGCGATGGAGGACGGCCGCCGGGAGGCGCATTTGAACAGGACGGGGGGGGGGGGGGGGCGAAGCTTCACGCCTGGTGGCAAGGCAAGGGGCTGGCAAACCCGGCCAGGCTCCAGATACCGTCAAACACCAGTGCCCCCGAGTCTATCCTCGGGCGCTCGCGTCGTTGGGTGCCCGCCCCGCGCCCCGGGCGCCGAACGCCCCCCTGTCGTATGCGCGTACACACACACACACACACTCACACGGACACACTCGAGGCCGCAGACCCCCCTCTATGCGCACGCCAGCGTCGTGGGAGAGGACCGGCGGATGGCCGGGCGTCTGGACTGCCGTCTGCTGCTCGTGCCTGCTGGGTAGAAGGCAGCCGGCGGGCGGCCGGATCGGGCGCGCACCCACACACCCGCACAAGGAGGCCGATCTGTCGCCCGGCCGGCAGGCGTGAGGCGAGCCCGAGCCGGCTGCCCAGCGACCGGGGCCGCGCTCAGGAGAGCCGTCATGCCAGGCCAACGTCCGGCCGGCCCCGTCGCGTTGTCCTTGTCCTTGTCCTTTCCCGCCCTTGGGGGGAGGGGGCGGGGAGGGGGGCCCCCTCTTGCGCGGGCAGGCTCATCTGCCCCGCCAGTCGCCAAGCCAAGGGGACTTGACACATGCCGGGCGAGGGCCGGGGCGCGTACGTCCGGCGATTGCGCGCAGGAGGCCACTGGAAGACATGTAAAAGTGTACGCGCATCGCCGGTCGACTACGCCGCCAAGGTCCATGGCGCCCTCGGCCGAAGCCCTGGCAGGCGCCGGACCGGGTGCGCGCATGCCCAAGACACCCGGGGACCTGTCAGATGCCAGGAGACCCGCCACAAGGCACACGGGCTCGTGCGCATGCACACCACAACGAAGGCACCGGCATGCGAAGGTGTGCGCACCATGCAGGAGTGCGCCCCTCTCCTGGCGCGCTTGCGCGCGCGCGCGCGCGACCGGGGGCATGCCGGCAGAGCCGCCCCTCGCCAGCCCCTCGCGTCTAAGCGCCTGCCGGTGTTTTGATCCGGGCGACTTCGGAAGAATGGAGGGAAAATGTGCCTCCCCGGCCCGGGTCCGTCCGACCGATGCGCCCCGCCCCCGTTCCCGTCCCGCCCCCCCACTCCCCCCACCCAGAGAGGCAGCCCCTAGTTCTTCCCCAGGAACCGACCTGTCAGCCGAGCCATAATGAAGTTGCCTCATGGGTCCTTGTTTGGATGAGGCCGATATCGAGAGGGGACGCGCGCCGAGGAGGAGCCGGCTGGGCCCGGGCGCCCTTCCCCATCTCCGCACAACCTCACCCCTTTCGATAAAATCACCCAGCGGCTTTGTTGGTGGGCCCGGGC